TGAAAACTTTGAAGAACATTCTTTGTTCTTCAGCTCGAAATCTTTTTTAATTTTTTTTTATATCCGTTCCTGACGTGTATTTGCACTTTCTGCGTCATTCCCATACACTTCAGCAATCCATTGTCTAGCTTCAGCCGAGGAAACATTACTGACGCCTAAGATTTCACAAACACTGGTCAAACGATAACGTTGGTTACTTTTGCATCAACCTAATTATAATAAATTGCACTTAGTTTCAGACTAACAACCAACCAACAAAAGTAATGTAACAAGAGGATTTCTCAACTCTAGAACGAAGGATCTAGTAAAGTGATTCTTCATGTCTGATAAAAACTGAGGAATACAACTTTTTTTTTTTTTTTTTTTTTTTTTTTTTCGAACTATCCATAACAAAAAGATATTTTCCTATTCACCTAGAGGTATCAAAATAAAGAGTCGCCAATGTTTAACTTTTGTGTCAACTAAAAAAAAAAAAAACGCTCTGTCAAAAGGTTGGTTATTCCCTTGACATCGCTATTATTGAGTAAACCTTTGATACCCATGGCAATGTTTATTTACAAGATTATAAAAATATGTTTCAATGAAACTAAAATAATTTTTAACATTCCTACCCGCCGTCCTGGGTAATACGATAAACTACATCCAACATCAAGGCCTCTGATCAGGTTTTGAGGAGCTTGGAACCGCCTCTTAATTGCTGGTGTTCCCAGGTCCACTTTGACCCGGGCTGGTAGCATCTGTTAGGGTCCCATCTTTGGGCAAATAGTTGACCCCCAAACTGGTTTCAAAACACTATGAAAGTGTAAAAATAGGTTTTAATAACAGAAATACTTTTTTTTTTCTTTTTTTTTTTTTATAAAATGTTATTACCGGCAATTAATTTTTGAAGAAAAAATATATGAGCAGCAATACATTTTTGAAAAAAAAAAATATATTACCAGCAATAAAAATCTTGTCGGCATTAAATAACCCATTGAGGTTGATATACCGTAAAACAAACCAAATTATGTGAACCAAGTATAATGTGATAATTATTATTTACCATTTATAAAGAAATAAATTTGAAAAAAAAACTTTTATTCAAAATATTTATAAAAAATTACAAAAATTATCAATTTGTAAACCAACTCCAATGCAATCTTTATTATTTACCCATTTATAAATAACTATGAAAACTATTTTGTTGTTTTTTGTTATTTTTTTTTGTTTTTTATTTTTGTTTTTTATTTTTATTTTTGTTTGTTTTTTATTTTTGTTTGTGTTTTTTTTTGTTTGTTTTTTTTTTTTTTTTGTTTGTGGTTTTTTTTGTTTGTGTTTTTTTTCATGATTTTATAAAACTATCAATGAAATATTGTTGTCAAATCTCGAAGAAAGAAAATGTCTAAATCCAGATTCAAATGTTTTTATTAAAATTGTAATCATCGCTTTTTAAAACGACAACTTTAACGAAAGGATTAAAAGTATGTACAATAATATTGTTGTCGAGGGAATAACTTTCCTTTTGACACATCGTTTTTTTGTTTGTTTGTTTTTTATTTTTGGGGAGGGGTTGTTTTTTTTCCAGGCAAGAAGGTTAAACATTGCCCACAGTCTAGATGGAATAATTTACTATTTAAGCGTTTAATTGATCTTAAACTGACGACTTACATTCATCTCAACGTTATAAAATAAAGTGCGCGGCTATTTCACCTAAACTTATCGCATGGGGAGAACCACCAATCCTGACTACGTCTGTTTACCAATGATTCAAAATATTATCGTTAAATATGAAACGAGTAGGAGTTATAAAGAATTCTACATTTTAGTGCATTTTCATCAACTAAAAAAAATTAACAATGAAAATGAAACCAATCAAATCAAAAACGCAATTTCACTTTAAAAACTTTCACTTAATGTATTCAATGTTAAATTGTATGATTTCATGATTGTTTTTCCTCGTGAATTACAAAGAATAAACAGAAAATTCTATTAAATCATAACTACAAGTTACAGCGAGCTAAATAGACATGTTTTATTTTAAACCTTAAAAGCCGCACTCCATGCGGACTGTTAAGCAATCTCCTGTGGAAGGCTAAGTGGGTCCCTGTCCCAAAACTAAAGGGACTTTTAGTCCAACTTAGAAAACATCAATGATAATTTTTAAGAAAATGACTGAAGAAATAACTTTGAATTCCTCAATTCACTTCATGGAACTTCAAAATCTCACTTGAACTCTGATTCGGGCTATAAATCCATTTTCGGCCAAAAGACCGATTTGAGCCAAAATTCCAATTCAGGTCGAAAATTGAGTTCTCAAATGACAAACTATGTGGAACTTCAATTAAATTCTTCAAATCACAAACGCTGCGAAATTTCAAAACTTCACATCACAAAACTTCTCATTTTAACTCCGAATCCTTGGCATTTTGAAGAAATAAAATTGATTTCCTCAATTCACAAAGTTTTCGAAATATTTTATACTTAATTTAAAACAAAAAAATGTTTCATTCACAAATTTTTTTCTTACTTAGTCAATATAAATTAAAAACTTAAAATCACTAATTTTAAAAGTTTTTAAAGTTTGAATTTTTAACTTTTCTCACCTTATCCGAGCACAAATCCCAATGTTGGATGTTCAAGCACCGACTGAAGGGCAGATTTTCAATCCTGGGATTATCCTGATTTCAAAAAGGTATAATCTGTCTATGTGATCCGAGTTAGAGGGGTTTCAGACACACACACACACACACACACACGGACGAACTGACAAACAGAATTTGCCGTTTATTTAGATATAAGATGTAAAGTAATAGTTACTATATATTTAGGCCGAAACAAGACTATTTTTAATATTACTTTGTGTTTCGGGCATGAAATAAAGTTAGTAGATCTAGTCTTCGGAAGGTCTGAACGAGAAATGTGCATTTCTTAAATAGGGTAATGATGCTTTTCGCTGATGTTACGGCTTCTCATAACTTAATGTTAAGCACACACGGCTGGAACGTGGTTTCTTAGATTAAAAGTAGAATTCAGGATGGATCCCTGTCGGGATGTCGACTCTAACACATGTACCGATTAAATATAGCATTTATGGTAACAAAAAAATAATCTCGGTTGAAAAAAAAGGTTTTTTTTCTTCTGCTTTCTTTACTTTTTCTTCTTTTTTTTTTCTTTTCTGTGGCTTTTTCTCCTTTTTCTCTTTCTTTTTTCATTTTTCTCTTTTTTTCTTTTTATTTGTTTTTTTTTTTTTTTTTTTTGTTTTTTGTTTTTTTTTTATTTGTTTTTTTTTTTTTTCTTTTATTTGTTTTTGTTTTTTTTTCTTTTTTTTTTTTTTTTTTTTTTTTTTTTTTTTTTTTTTTTTTTGTTTTTTTTTTTTTTTTTTTTATTTTTTTTTTTTTTTTTCTTTTTATTTGTTTTTTTTTTTTTTTTTTTTTTTTTTTTTTTTTTTTCTTTTTATTTGTTTTTGTTTTTTTTTTCTTTTTATTTGTTTTTGTTTTTTTTTTCTTTTTATTTGTTTTTGTTTTTTTCTTTTTATTTGTTTTTTTTTTTTTTTTCTTTTTATTTGTTTGTTTTTTCTTTTTATTTGTTTTTTTTTTTTTTTTTTTTTTTTCCACTTTTTTCTTTTCCTTCTTTGTCGTTGGGAACAGCTCTAAAGGGAGATGTACGAGAACCGGTCAGATTTTTCTATCTATTTTTCTCCCCATTTTTCTATTTTCTTACACACACATATATATATATATATATATATATATAGTCTTGTTTCGAATTTGCCATTTATGGTGACTGTATCTTTTCCCTCCACCTATTTTCCTCTCATTTTTAATAAATATATCTGTTTTTATGTCATCAATTGGATATATCATTTATCTAAAGTAAAAAAAAAAAACTGATCTATATCGATCGAGAATTGGAGGAAAAATGCAAAGAAACCGGATCATTCGTATTTGTCTGTCTGTCTGTCTTTCTTTTATTCCACGTGTTTTTACGCAAGTTCAGGAACGATTATTAATTTTTGACTCTTGACTATTTCTTTCAACTTAATTTCATTTACTTTTTATTGCGGGTCTAACTTAGACATTCCAAGAAATTAGACATGGATAAATGACAATACTTCATCTAAGAAATTAAAATAAGATCAGAAGTTGAATATATTTCGGTTAATTGGGCCATTGCTTAGCTGGGGCGTGCGTTTATTTGGGTCAAAACATGAACGACCATAACGTGTATTTGCCATTCCTTTTGCCTATTTGGCTCACCAAGCCGTTTATTCGGACCATCGTATACCAAAGTGTATATGGAGGGCCATGATTGCCTACATCCTGAAGGGACATACCACATAAAAAAAAAGATTGCTGACTCACTCTCTGATAAAGGTTGACAAGGTATTATCTACTGAGCATTAGGAATGACAGTAATACATTGTTATTAAATATGAAATATGAATTTAATTTTTTGATAAGTTTTGTTTTTAACCAATTAGAAAGGAAAAATTTGTTCCTTACTAGACATAGCTCTATAGAAAAACTTAAAATACCTTTATTTTAACTTTATATTTTTCCCAAGCATAAACAGAGCAGCCGCTTAAGTGGGCGATTTTAATTGTCCCAATAAACTGAAATCTAGCATCTTTACTAAACAAAATGCAAACTAAAACAAACTAAATATATTGTGTTTTTATTTATGATAGCAAAACATATTTTCAGTATTACAAAAGCCGTTAGTAAACTAAGAGTAAAAATATATCGTCTTTTTTTTTTTTTTTTTTTTTTTTTTTTTTGTTTCTTGAATGTGACTTTGCACTTGACACCAAGCTACTCACCTGAAACTTTACAACTTGAAAACTAAGTAATAAAGCAAGCTTCTTTTTTCATTTTGTTAAATACGAAATCTGTTTCTCAATTCCAAGCCTCGTTATCAATTCCAAGCCTCATTCTCACTTCCAAACTTCTTTCCCACTCTGCTGAACATCCAATATTGTCTGGTTTTCGTCAAAAACAACAAGACTAACACATGTTCGCGGATTATGAACTGCCCATTACTTTTGTTAAGGATAAGTCTAAAGGAATCTCTTGGGGGTTTGTATCGTACGGATTAACATAGCGCAAATTTGTTGACGCAATCTGGTTACAGGTTCTGGGAGACGTAACCTTGTTCTTGTGATTAGTCACGGCGTTAGCCTGATGTCTCATGGGAACAGAGAAAATGGATGGCGACGAAAGTGAGTCAAAACGATGATCATTGCTGCGATGACCAGAAGTCCCTGTCCACGAGCTTTCCGCGGGCGTCACTGAAGACGATTCCAATCTGGCTAGAGTCTGGAGCTTAGAGAGACCGTGGAGTTGGAGTCGGACGGGTTTCACGTTCGATAACGGTTTATGGTAGCCGACGTGGCGATTCTCTCGCCGGAAGTAGTGGCCATGCGTGCGCACATGTTTGCGCAATGAGCTTGGATCTGTATAGCGTTTGCTACATCCGGGCATCTTGCAAACGTACGGCTTCTTTTCTTGGTGGGTGCGCACGTGCTTGAACCGGTCGCTGGAGTTGGAATAAGCTTTGCTGCACCCAGGCACCGGACACGAGTAAGGTTTTTCGCCTAAAAAAGAAAAATGATAGTCAGCTTTCTATGTTGTGACATGTAGATGGTGTTATTTCTTTCTAAATTAATGGGTTGAAGAGTTATTTATATTATTTTACAGTCAAACTAATATCCCCTTCACGTTTCGATCGGCTTTCTTTAGATATCTGTCGACCCGAGTAACCTTCAGGGGATGTTGCTCTGTATCTTATGCTTACACTTTGGGGGTAGAGTGCTCATATTCTGCTCTCCGGGTCTAGAAATATCTCGTCTTGGTTAATCGTTAAATTATTACTAGTTTTGTTTATACTAAGTCTGAATATATTCGTGTTTCCTATACAACTACATGGACAGCGAAATGAGAACAATTTAATCCCATAGCTTGAATAAAGTGGTAAGTTAAAAATTCCTCGAAGTTTTAGCCTGATCGACAGACACCTGAAGAAAACCAAAAGGCACAAAAGCCGAAACGTGATCGTAATACCGAAGATGAAGACATTAGTTTGAATGTAAATCATGCAAATAAAGATAGTTGTATATATTATGTTTTATTTTAGATTTAAAAACTCGTACAGGAAAAATAATTAAACGAAATATTGTAATAAATTGTCATAAATTACCGTATTTCTCATTATATAATACGCACCTAAAATTTTGCAAGCAATAATTAGAGGGGAAAAAGTACCCCTCCTCACCCCACCACAATTTCCATGAACCTCGTAGACCTTCCCTCAATAGAATTTTAGTCCATTTGTAGGTGACTATATATTCACCTATTGACCTACTTAAGAAAATCCTGCAATAAAACTTATAAATACTATCGCATTATCACACACAGGTGACCTGTTTTTACTAGCTTGCTTAGGATTCCTAGTCTAGTTGACAAACTACAGCCTTGTCGAAGCGGTTCAAGCTTAACATCCTATCACACATGGGACCTCATAACCTGAATCCTTGTTGTTAGACTTGAGAACCTATGCAGAGCAGGGTGCAGGACAACTAAACACCACCGACTGAACAATGAAAAAAATTATATTTAATAAAGCAAATTGACATATAAAAAAAATTATTCAATTAAACACTTGTTTTTAATTATTTTTTAATAAAGTAAATCGAAAAAAGCAAAACAAAACAAGCAGTTCTTTGTTTTTAATTATTTTTAATAAGGTAAATCGTAATGAAATTTATTTTTTGATAAAGTAAATCAAAATTCTACAATGTTTTTATAAAAATAATTTAATAATTTACAATTTACTTTATTAAAAAAAAATAAACTTCTTTACAATTTACTTCATTAAAAATAATTAATAACAAAAAAACAGTTTCATATTTTACATAAATAATGCCTTTTCAAATGCCTTATTTGAAGAAAAATATTCAATAATTAAGGTTTAATCTTTAATAAATTATTTTTATTCAATTACAAAAAAAAAGTTTGTGTTTCTGGTGCTGAGTTGTCCCGGCGCTAAGTCGGCGGTGATGAGTTGTCTCTTCCCGTGCAGATGCTACAACAGTTTAGGGGAACGCATCCAAAAGTCAAGATGACCGGAACTTTAAAACAGGTCTCTATTCTGACCTAGCTCTAACAGCTCAGTCTCAGACACCCTTTAGACATTGTGTTATCATCACTATTTATAACCTTGACTTTTTACCAGTCACGATGAACAATATCCCTCTCGATGGAGTTCTATGCTTTTGAACTTCCGTTGGGCCTCAAGTTCACTCCAGACCTCGTGGAACCCGTATATACAATCAATCGCTAAAGATGCTGGAAAAATTGTCAGTTCATTCTATCGCTCCAGGAAGTAGAATCTGCAATGCAATCGATGCTGACCTGGCATCTCGACTTCAGTCACTTTCTCACAGATGTAATGTGGCTACCCTCTATCTTTTCTACAAATATTTTCTGGCGGGCTTTTTTCCCTGGTACCCCAAATACATGAATTTAAGCCTGCTACTAGATTGACATCGAGGTCCCACCGTTTTACTGTCGAAATAGATAAATGTAACCGCCACTTCTACTCCAATAGTTTCTTTTCTCGCACTTCCCGCCTGTGGAATTCCTTTCCGCTTACTTACTTCCCTGGAAACTTCAGTCTTCAAAAATTGGCTTCAACCACGACCTCCAGACGTCTTCAGCATCTCCTGTAACTCATCTGGACAGTCTCTTTGTTTAAGTTGGTGAATGCTGCCATAATCTTTGCCTTCAGTTCATCTTTGCTGTTACAAGGAGTTTTATTAGTCTCTAGCTCAACTGTGCCCCATACATGATAATCAAGAGGGTTGGGGTCTGGGCGAGTTAGGCAGCCAGATGTAAGAGGAGATGTGGTCGCAGAAATTGTCTGACAGCCACGACTGGCTTCTCATGTTTGTATAGTATATAGAGTCCTGTTGCCAGACATTAGTCTTCCAGCTACCACCTTCTTGATCCAAGGCAGCGTGTTGAGTCTGAGGCCCTCACCAACAAATTCGGGTATTCTTTTCTCGTCAGAACGATCAGAGTGAGTTTTCCGAGCTGTCGTACTTCTAATCACTACAACATCAATCACCATCTTCTATCTTCTTAAATCAAATTCATCTTTCATTCATTCCTATACCCAGTCTTTTCTCTAACTTTCACTCTATGTAACCCCCTGCGTATTAGTGGCATTCCAACCTTGCTTGGGGTGAAATGATTCAAAAAAATTTTTTTAAAGTCTGACTGCTCCTGCCATGCTCTATCTTTATAAGAGTTAGAATAGACCAACAATGAAGTATGGCTGTTATAACTGAGCTGCAGCTGCACAATCTTTAATAGCCACTGTTCAGCCTTGACAGAGCTCCAGATCACTTACAGTCTTTTAGAGCTTGACATTTTCCATTCTGTAATTTCTATTCTCCAGGCGCAATGTTAAAAGCCTTTTGATACTCTAACGCTATTCCCATGGCAAAACTTAAGCTATATTCTTCATTTCCACCAGCGCAGAATATTACAGCTAGGACACGCCATGCCACTTCGACACACTTGGATCATCTTCATTTCCCCCATATTCCAAATGTAAGAAAGACAGCTTTTCCCCCAGATACTGCCACTTTGTAGAACAAACTCCCTTCTCTAAATACTTCAGTCTTGATGTCTTCAAGACGAAGATGTCTTCACTTATAGACTTCATTTCCTAACACCTTAAGTCCTGGGTATGACGGTAAACTACATCCAACAGCAAGGCCTCTGATCAGGAGATTGGTGCTTTTGAGGAACGGGCAACCACCTCTTAATTGCTATTGTACCAGTTCCACGCTGACCAGAGTCGCTATCACCCTTTAAGGTCTCAGCTTTCGGCAAATAGTGAACCCCCAAACAAAACACTATGAAAGTATAAAAATATATATAATACAAAACACTATGAAAGTATAATATATATATATAATACCAGTATTATATAGTGAAATTGTCCTCATATAATTACGTTCAAAATGTATTTAGGTGAAGCCATACAAGTGTGTCAAAAATGTATTTCGGTGAAGCCATACAAGTGCGTTCAAAATATTCAGATTTCTGTATTAAATAACTGCTGTATTTATGTGAATGGGGACATACCCATTATCGTCCGTAGGTATGCTACAAAGCATTTTTTTGCCTACGTGATGTCATTTCATGTTCACTCCTGTTGAACTAGAGTGCGTAGATTTCTCTATTTGATCCAGGATTTGAACTCCGGACCACTAAGTAAACGCAACACCTATATGCACTACGACAACGTCCCGGGGAACATTAATGGTATATTTTTGGAGGTGTTGTTTTTTTGTTTTTCTTTGTTTTTGTTTTTTAGGCGGAGTGGGGGTTCCATCCGATTGCTAATAGTTTCGATGTTTGGTTATCAATGCTGGTTCGATTTTTTTTTTTTTTTTATTATTTTATATATCGTATTGTCAAAATAATTCTACTATTGTTCTCATCTTTGAGCGTGTTACAGGTGTTATCGACGTTTTACTAAAGTACATTCTAGACATATATTCAATAGATCAACGTTTATTGACAATACATCATCTGAAAAATGAAAAAAATATTTTAATAATAAAAGCTATAGATACTGAATGCCAAGTTTTTTCTATCGACACACATTTAGACTTATATATATATATATATATATATAGCCAATAAACAGCTCTAAAAAACAAAATTGTTTAGTGAAATTACACAAAAAATACAGGCAAAATTTTACCGAATGAATGCACATGTGCGTCCAAGACAATACGCAATATACCACAAGACTCACATGTGGTAAGTAAATGTGATAGTGTAATACTTTCCAACTTGATGTATTGAATTTTATTTTTATTTTATTTTATTTTATTTTTTTTTTTACCTAATTGTCGCAATTTCTCGAATTGAGGAATCGGAGAGCCGAGTTCGAATTCCAGTCGAATCTATTACATTTATTTACGTTTTAATACCCTTGGGAAAGATTTTAATCCTCTTCTCCCCCCAAGCTATGGGTAAATAGCAGGACAGACCGTGTTCTATTCTCTTGGATGGCAACTGGTCTACCGCATAAAGAAATGGTAACCTACTGCGGGAAAGAAAATCTGCCTTGTCAGTCATGTATCAAAAGATACATGATCGCCTAAGCGTGTATCACGCATGGCACATAACTGACTGAATTGTCGCAAACTACAAACTTCTATCCTTTCTTGTTATCTCAAGTCAAATCATTTCTCTTCTATTTATATCACATAACTCATCTCATTTATTATCATTGCCATTTTGAATTTTTGGTTTACTCCTTGTTTGATTTTTTTAAAGAGATGTTTTAATCATGTTCTTTTGTCAGTTTCGAAAATTTCCTTCGTCTCTGTTTTTGCTTTGAAGAATGATTTTTTTTCTTCTTTTTCTGATCACTATATTTTAATCGTACACAAGACTTTACGGAACTGCATCAAAATTATTCGTTTTAAACTGTTCAAATATAAATCTGTTAAGATCTGCATTTCTACCTAATTTCTGCTCTTATCCCATAAAGTTTCGTGGCGTAAAATCTCAAGAAAACGAGATATCGTCGATTTGAGATCATACACCGATCAAAATTTCATTCCCTTGTAAAAAGAATTCTATCCTCAATATATGCACCAAGAAGAACCGGCACAATATCTTAAGTTTTATAATATATATATTTCCCTGTTTAAACAGCCAAATTGTCCAAATAGTGTAATGGTGAGAGGGTAAAGATCATTTAGGCCTTTAGTAACGGTACCAACATTCATACTCTAGCTTCTATCTTCAAAGGCCATTCAAGAACCATCAAGAGAACGAGGAATGTAGAGAGAAAAACTGAATCAGGAGGTTAAAATAGATAGATCATCATTTCAACTTAGAACTAAGCAGATCAATTAGAAAAAATCCGACTCGATCCATGAGACGTTTAGCAAGTGAGAGAGGAGTTTCTGCTATGGCAGTCCAAAGAGTAGTGAAAAAAGACTTGCAAATGAAATCGTACGTGAAACCTATGAGGCACCTTGTTAATCCAGCACAAAATGTTAGGTTAGAAAGGACGAAGATCAACTTGAATAAGTTGGAAAAGGATTCTGAAATTATATATATATATATATATATATATATATATATAACTTTATTTGAATCGTTCCGATCCTTAGCTATGATTAGTTAATAATGAACATGACATTTTCGTTTATGATCGATTTCATCACGTAATTTCTGTTAAGCTTATAGAATAATTATACATTCTTATTGCTCAAGGTAGAGTCCAATAGTGTTATAAAAAGCTCGGAAACTTCCAGTAAATTATCTTTAATCATATCTAAGATACAACGGTTCATATATATAATCATGTACGTGTGGGCATGTAATTAATACAAATTATATATTAAGGAAATACTCGTGTTTGAGTAAATATCCCCGCTGCTTGTATGTTTTGTTCGCTTCTTAATTTAGCATATACCAGCTTAGATACTGAAATTCTTATTAAATTATATTTCGACAGGAATAGAAACCTGTACTGAAAAACACCTTCAAGTTTTTGAGCTACGAGAATCCAGTACAGGCCCATTTTCTTTAATAAGACTTCCAGTCACTAGGCCGGTAGATGTTTATTTCACTATTTGAAATAAATCAAATGTTTACTCAAACACGTGTACCAGCTACCGTATGTAATTATGTATAAGCCGACTTTATGTATAGTGAGAGCTCTTGAATATATATATTTTTTTTTTTTTTGCATTAATTTAAAAACATTACCGGTGTACAGTGCAACCGGTTACCGAAATTTTTTGAGTTTTTAACCTCTTACTTGTGTATAGTGCGATCCCATATTTTTACGTAAAAAACTGATCCTAAAACTCACACTATACACATATATGATAAATATATTTTTATAGAAATAAGAAATAGTGTTGGATTAAAAATCCATTAAATACTTAAAATATATATAGATAAATAGTGTATGACAAAAATAATGTGACATACATAATATAATACCTTAAAAGCCACCTTATCGGGCGGCATTTAAGCTAGCTTCTGCGGAGAGCTCTTGATTGAGCCTTCTAAAAGAGTTTGAGAGTCCCTAAGTCTTTGCATATTCTCAGCATTGGAAGCTCTTCTGGCTGCCATTTGAGCTGGATTTTCTTTTCCTCGCTGCAGCCTTGGCTCTTTTGATTGCAATCTGGTCCTCCGTTGGCAGAGATTTCTTTTATGCGACGCTTACTGCTGCTGTATGCGATAAGCAACAATACACTACAGAAGAACTCAAAATTGATCGCTGCATTTAAGTATTGCATTAAGCTTACCTTTTAAAAGATCAGCGATAATTCTTCTGTCGCCACTTAATTTAAAAACAATTTGATGTACGTAGGTCCTTACTTTCCCTACAAACAATTATTTTTTATTTCATGCGTGACTTTCGCTGGATTTCTCAATTAATTTTAATTATTCCCAAATTTATTTCCAAGTTTTAAAAACTATTATCCTACAAAATGATTCGTCGCAAAATATCGCATAAAAAAATCTCCCAAAACAATCGCAGTAATGAAAACTTGTGAATCCAAAATTTCAGGATTGAGGGTTCAGATCCGACCCGAAATGTCGTTAATTTGAGTCTGCCTGATTCTAAAATGGTATATGCTGGGTTACGACATCTGGAAGTAAAGTTGAAAAAGTGTAACTCACTGATATTCGCATTTATTTATATAGAAGGACTTATTGTACTTACCTGTATGAGATCTGTTGTGAATTTTGAGGTTTTCCAAGCGTGAAAAACATTTGCCACAAAGGGGACATTTGTGTGGTTTTTCATTGGTATGTGTTCGAATATGAATGAGCATTTTATACCTGGAAAACAAAAGGTGAGAAAAAAAACAAAAAAAACAATGCTAAACGCTGACCTATTTATGATGGAACTGTACAGTGTGAGAATAAAGAATATTTATTACATTTGATATCGTTTCAGCTTATCAGTTTGACAAAAACAGCAAGTCGATGTCACATTAAAAAAAAGTCGTTTCATACCTGGTTTTAGTATTTGAATATGAAAAAAAAACTATATGAACAGTTTGCACCAGACGAGCAGATGACTTTACAACTATGGAACTGTTATAATTCGACCTTTGATTTTTAGCTATTTAAACCAATTCGAGTGTAGATCAAGCATATTTCTTTTTAATCATTAATCTATTAAATGTCTTGTGTCTAACACAACCTTTTATTTTGAGCCATTAAAACTTCACGATTTGTTACATAATACATGGGTTTGAGTAGACAACCCTTTTTTAGGTGTAAATGTTGTAACCTAGGGAAGATTACTGAATAGAATAATCAAACGAAGGCTGGTAATGAACGATAATACTTAGGACAAGAACAACACATATAAGATTCGCCAGCGGCGCTTAGAAGTAGCAGTCTGCTAGAAGTGATTCAAGTGAATTCCACAATGCATCTTCAACTGCAGAATATCTACCAAACGTCCCACGCAGTCAGATGTGGCACAAGGTCGGATTTAATGTGATGTATCCGAGCCGGTAGGCTCGGCCAAAAATTCACCATAGACTCCTTATAAAACGGGGTCGGGTAACTGTTTCCCGAGACGAGACTCTGCCCTTCGAGAAAGCCTCGTCTGGGGATCCTCTGCCTGGAAGCAGAGTTTGACCAACACAACTGGAGACGAATCTCCAACTGCAGACCAACATACAGTATTTACTACTGTATTTATGGGAATGGGGACATACCCATTATCGTCCGTAGATATACTACAACAGTAAATATACATCTACCGACATGTCCATTCGAGAGCCTTAATAAGGTTACAATTTCTTTTAGACTCTCAAACGCACAATCAGGTAGATGTATTTCAAAGCATGAACTTCTGGGAGGAGGTAACCCCAAGTTCCCCGGTGCAAAAGGAACTGGCAAGCCATTGAACTATCCTGCCTTGAATGTCACCATGAACCACAACCTGACCCGATCTGTGGAGACGAACACTTCTCCCCAACCCACCTGTGCTAAGCAGTCATCGGCCAATCGCCTGAGTGTGGGATCTTCGCCTAAGAGATCAGCGGCTTGGGAAAGGTATAAATCAATCTCTTTCCCCTGGGCTCTACATTCTTGGTTGGCAACCAGTCTAGGAAAAAGAACACTCTGAATTCAAACCATCTGCTGCCTTGTTGATCTTGTCTCTTTAACTTCTTTGAGAGGAGGGACAGGGTAAACCTTAACATCCACTGTGCAAAAAAAAAAAAAAAAAAAAACAAGCCATTGCACTATTCTGCCTTGAATGTCACCATGAATCACAAATTGTGAGATAGAGGGGAGTGGTAACTAGACAATGGCACATAATGCGGTAATTGAAAAAACTGGAATTGAACATTTTGTCTTGCAATTGGAAATGACACTTTGAAATGTATTAGAAAATAATTTAAGTTGGGTCGTTGACGTGAATATTAGGTTGACTCGTAAATAATTTCCTTTTTTTATTATCTACTCAAGTCTTCAAAATAAAGAACAATTACATTTCACTAACTTATATATTCACCTTTATTTGCAAGGACTTGTTGACACTTATCAGGCGGTTCTTTGATACCTTTTAATAAAATTCCATAGATTCTGGTGTGAGAAAGTTTTCGACGATCTCTTGAATGTGCCTTCCATTGGAGAAAGTTTTCCCTACCAAAGAATTTTGCAGCGATCAAAAACACAATAATGGGTTGGTGTAAAGGTCAGATCAATATGGTGGCTGGGGTAAAACAGACCAACCGAGATCCAAAACTTTTTTTCTGTTTTGTTCTTGCTGTATGCTGCCTTTTGTGTTTATGGGACAGAAGAATTTTCTATTTACGAGCACGGGATACTTTTCGACTAAACTTTCATGGACACGTTTCAGCTGCTGGACGTATAAATGTGCATTTAGTTTTTCATTGCGTTTTAAGTAGTCTAAATTGTTAGTTCCAGTCACTATAGGAATGAATGAAAAAAAATACTCCTCCCCAAATTTATAGACAAACCGCAGTGGATGCATGCCGGGATTTCTTCCTAGACAATAAAATAGACCACTTATCGGTCTCATCCGCTACGTCTTTGTTCTTTCATGTCGTAGTCAGAACGCTGCGATCACTTGTATGTGTCCCCTTTTGTGTGTTAACACTATTCTTAATTTGTGAACTTCTTACCTTATTACTGTTGCATTGTCTACATTTGCCATATATATATATATATATATATATATATATATATATATATGAGAGAGAGAGAGGGGGGCTCCAAAATTCGCTTGAGGATGAAATGGAACTAATGTTTTTAATTTAATTACAAAATTAAATTCGAAGCTTTTAGCTTCCATTTTTGAAACATGGTTATTACTATGTAGCGAAAAAAACATATTTTCAATCAGTTAATTTATAATATATATATATATGTGTGTGTGTGTGTATAGGAAATGGATTAAATCCGACAGATGTTTAATTTATTTGGTTAAACGATTTTTTTTTTAAATGGCTACTCATATTTGCGTTGATGCTCTATTTTCATTTATTAAACATTATGTATATTTATTTACATCTACCGGCCTGAATATTCGAGAAATCTTGTTAGTAAAATATGGAGTATCCATATTTATCTAACAAAACTTTTCCAATATTCAGGCCGGTAGATGTAAATAAATATGCTGTTTAATAAATAAATAAAAACAGCATCTACTCAAATATGAGTATCCATTTTAAAAAAATGACGTTTAAACAAATATATTGGAAATTTAAGTGAGAGCGTTTTTTACTAATATGGCAATTTTAGAAATTTTTTGTTGTAGGAGTTTATCTGTCAACGTGGCATGAACTAAATAGTTCAATAAATAGAGTAATGTCTCAGTTGTTATCCTGAATATTTGCAAGTCGGATCAGTTCTTTTAAATCAAATATGTGGTTCAGTTTAATTTATATTACAATGAATCATTCACACAAAAACTAAATTAGTAAAGTTATATATATAATATTTCTGTTTATACGTTATTTTTATGGATATACTTATTTGAGTAAATGCTCTGTTCTTTAATTAAACACTATTAATCACATTTACAGGACTGGATGTTCGAGAAATTTCGTAGACAATATGCGTTCTCCGACATGAATCGAACCTGCATCCTATACGGAACTGCCGGTTAGGCAAAGTTCAAATTACTGCTTTTAAAACAGGGATTGCTGCCCAAATCATATATAATTTGGGCAGCAATTCTTCTGTTATACAAGTTTCATTAAAGACGCCTGACAAGGTACTGTGATTAAACTTTTTATTTAATTTTTTTGTGTTCGTATAAGTGATTTTTTTTCTGGATATAAAGTGTGTAAAAATTGTCCGAATGTTCTATATATCTGAGAGCTTTCGGCCATTCTATTAGACATAATCGATGATGATGTTTTTAACTGAGATTTCTTTGTGCCTAGAGTGATGGCAATGTTTTTATTTTCCAAACACAGTCAGGACATTGTCGCCGTGTTCATAGTTGATATTATTGAGTGATAGCGATTTCTTTTTTATTATTAATGTTTCTCTTATTTTTCGTCTTCTTTTAGATGTAGATGACGTTATTATATTTGTATTTTCTACATGATATTTTCTTTGGATTCATTTTTTCTCTTTTCTTTTCTTTCTTTTCTTATCATTTATTGGAAACTTTGCCAATTCTATTTGTTGGATATTTCTGCCAGTTCCATTTAACCATTGCCAATTACTCAACATAAACAATCCTCCGACTATCTCACCACATGCACAACATTAGCTTTCTTTCGTGGAGCTCAAATTTTAGGGTCGGTTGAGGTGATTTGCTCTTGTTAATCGCCTACCTTTTGCGTTAAACATTGTTGTATACAACCCATTTTTCATCGCTTATTATTATATATTTAAGCAACATCATTACAATTGATTCCCCCCCAAAATCGAAACTACTTATGACTCAACCTAATATTATTCAATTCTTATATAACATTTCAATGAAACTAAAATAACTCTTAACGTCAGCACCTCCCCCCGTCCTTGGTATGACGATAAACTACATCCGACAGCAAGGCCTCTGATCAGGAGGTTTGAGGAGCGTGGAATCACCTCTTAATTGCTGGTGTTCCCAGGTCCACCCTGACCAGGGGTGGTAGTACCTGTTAGGGTCCCAGCTATGGGCAAATAGTTAACCCCCAAACTAGGGTCAAAACGTGTAAAAATAGGTTTTATTACCAGCAATACATTTTTGTAAAAAATTATTACCAGCAATACATTTTTAGAAAAAATATTACCAAAAATACTTTTTTGAAAAAAAAATATTACCAGCAATAAAAATCTTGTCGGCATTAAAATAACCCATTGAGATTGATATGCCGTAAAACAAACCAAACCAAACTTAACATCCCCCCTCCACGTGATTGTTCGGGAATGCTCTTACCTGGCGTTAAATCCTTTCCCGTCCCTGGGACAACCTTCCCACTTGCACTGATACTCAACCTCTGACCTTCCGACGCACACGTGCTTCTCATTCACGTGACCGACCAGCTGATCCATGAAGACGAACTTCTGGTTGCAATCGGCCCACTGACACCTGTACATGTCTTCCTGGTTGGATTCGTTAGTTGCAGCGGGGTAGAAAACGCTGACGTACGTGCACGGGGAACAAGTGTCCGGTGTGAGTGGATGAATCTGCAAGAGAAATCAGAGATCAGGTATATAATGGGAAAAACAAATCGAATGATTTTTCAGACACGTTCAATGGTGTCATTTTAATGTCCTTCATATTAATTGATATTTATTTAGCCCAGCTTAGATATGCCACAAGGATCTAGCATATTGCAGGATGTGACGCTGCAGTCATCGGCGCGAAGAAGTGGAATCTGTTGTTGCTCACTTTCGTACTAATGCTCTCGGGGAAGACATGAATACATTTCTTCCCACTTCACCTACGGGTTAAATAACAGGATAGACTATGCTCTAACGCTTTGGTTAGCAGCCAGTCTAGGAGAAGAAAAGCTTTGAATTCTAAACTGGCGAAGACAACAAGAAAACCATTCTGCTATATTTCCCAAGAAATCATGGCAATTCTCAGATAAGTAAAAGGTATGACGTCACAATACCGCCCTCAGTTACCGGGCAAATCCGTTGTCGATCCCTACTTCCAGCCTTGGAGTTGGTTGCCCCGATCTTCAATCCCACTCTACCCACGTTGGGCTGGCGAAGACTGGGTCGTATGCTAAACGTCGCTAATCCGGTAGCTCTGCTGAGATGACGCCACAAGGAACAAAGAGACGTCTGTGTAACAGCTTTATATCAAAGGTTCATACAATGAACGTTCTACTCACTAAATTACCAACATGCAGATTTTCAGCGCCTTCCCCCTTAATACCCTGTGACACTACGTTTAGCCACATTCGGTAAACTCTTACAAGGCTGAAGTCTGATTTTCTTTCACTGTTTGATTTCTTCTGTCCGACCATTCAGTTATATTTGGCAGTCTAGAACAAGGCCGGAGTCTAAGTCCTTTCCGCAGAAGCTGCGCGTGGGTTTGGCAAAGCGGTTCTTGAACCAACTGTCAACATGTCTCTCTCTCTCTCTCTCTCTCTCTCTCTCTCTCTCTCTCTCTCTCTCTCTCTCTCTCTCAAACAGCACCTCGAACTGTGCAGTCCCTTCATCTCGTCTCTCGCCTCACTCGCCTATATTTATGGACACTTGCGCAAACCTAGCTCGGGGCATGAAGTTGTTAAAATATCGATCCGCCCAGCTCCTTCCATGACGCACGGGTGCCTCTCACCATCACCGCCCGAAGGGTGCAGGCAATTCCTCATCCTCCCTTTAAATTCTATCTGGGCCTTTACCTCACTCTTTGTCTCCTGATCAAGCCTGTTCTCAGAGGCTAGGCGTGGTCTAGCCCAAATTGCTAGATTCTTTGATCCACGTGACAAAAAGAGACAATTCCTTTGTTTTAATAAGTTTTAACGCGTCTTAGGCAGACGAAAAAAATATATAACTACAATTCCATTTTTGTTTTTCTTTCTTATCAACTGACTGAATTTTGGCTAGAGACTTGCTATTAGCCTTCGTGGGTGGCCTTACCATTACCCACTTCGTTCAATGAGTGGCCTACTGACGCTTTATCTCGTTCCCTCGTTGGCATGTGAGGTCGTTAAAAAATAATCTATTCTTCCGCGCGGGGTCGATTGTACACTTAAGAAAATACCATCATTTAATATTAATTTGACCAAAAACAGATGGCTTCTACTCTAGTCGTCGGCGGCATCTCACACCGCGGGTGGAGAGAGAAAAGAAAACAAATATATTTGCCTTTCATTTTCCTTGTTTTGTTATCAGTATACTTTCAGTCTATTGAAAAACAAATTCAGTTTGCAGATCTTGTTTGATAAATATTGTTTCACGGCGGAATATTAATATAATTTGCGAAAGGGTAATAGTTATCAATGTTTTCATTTTATATAAGTTTATTAATTATATTATTAAACAGATTAAATTCGACAATTATTTAATATATTTTCTGTGTATAGGCTATTATTAATAGGTACAATTTATTTAAGTAAATACTGTTTTTCAAATAAACAGTATTAATTAAAATTACCGGCTTGAATGTTCGAGAAATTTCGGAGAAAATTTGTGTTCTCCGACAGGAATCGAACCTGTGTCATATACAGAAGCGTCTACTGATCTGACCATATATGATGTGCTAGAACCTGTATCCTATAGGGTTCTGTATAGGATACATGTTCGATTCCTATTGAAGAACGCATATTTTCTACGAAATTTTTTGAACATTCAGCCCACTAACTGTAATTAATACTGTTTATTTAAAAAACATAGCATTTACGTAAATAAATTGGATCTCTTAAAAATAACGTATAAACAGAAAACTTGATTATATTATTTACACACTCAATTTAACGGACTTTATCACAGAAACGTTTATGGCCATATCACATTAAAACACCAGTTCTCGTATGATGACTGAAGTTAAAAAAAAAAAAAAAAAACAACTTCGAGCCTAGTGGGCAACTGCTTCGGAATGTTTGGGTGTGTGAGTGGTGCAATGAATAATGACTCGAAATTGGAAATCTGAGAACCGAATTCGAATTCCAGTCGGTTTCGTTCTATCCACTTACGTGCAAATACTCATAAATATTCATTACATATTTTTATTTGCTTTTGAAAATCTATTTTAATCATCGTAAATATTAATTGGAGAAACCTTTAATGTTATTGTATTTTTATACCTCACCACCACAAAAATTGTACATATGGGTTTAGGACTTCATAGAGAAACGTTGGTATTATGTCTGTAGTATGACTAATAAGTGTAAAAGTCTGGCTTTGGTGTCTGAAACAATATTGGTTCGATTGGATATTGTTCTTTGGGCGGGGGGCGGGGGGTTAGATCATGGCTCTCCACAATTTTCTATCCTTTGTAGCTCTTAATACTTTTAGTCTTTTTGCTGTCTTTCCTAAACCCTGTTCTATAATCCTTTTACTTAAGCTCCTTAGGTTGGTTATGCGTTGTTCTCCTTAGTCCTGTGAGTATCAACTTTTCCAAACCCTCTTTTCTCATTATATGCCTTAGAAATTTCATCTCTTTTTCTGATGTTAACTATAAGTGTCTTTTTGGTTTTCATTTTCTTTAGAACTTTCTAGTTGCTAACATATTCAGTCCATAGTATCCTCAGCATGCTTCTATAGAACCATAAGTCTCTTCATCTTTGAGGAGATTGTCCAGCATTCACTGCCATATATGGGGGGGGGGCATTATTATATAACAGTTCAACACTCTTTTCTTTGTTTCTAACGGAATTTCTCGGTTAATACTTTGCTTAGCTTTTGGAAAACATCTTTCGCTATCCCAATGCGATTTCGGATATGGATGTCACACTTACCGTTCTCTGTTAGCTAAGTTTAAAGTTAAGACTGTGATAACCATCCCTCCCTATGCCCTTTATTGGCCTGCTGTCGTATTTTTGCATATTTATACCAAAAACATTTTCATTATGTGTTAATAATGCGAGCTGTTTTGATCCACTGATTTAAAACAGTATTTTAATTCGCTGTATTACTGCCTGGTGTTTAAATAGGACATTTTATAGGATATTTTCAAATCACAATTCTCTTAATACATTTTGTTATCTATCCTACAACACAATTCTGTTAACCATTTACACAAACTCGTTAGGTAGGTCAACTTACTCAATATTTCATGTTAGTGTTAGATTTTCCAAGCCCTTATTATGTGTACAAAATATTGTCCTTTTGTTTCCAGTTTCCTTAAGACTTCTTCGTCCATATTATTCTCATCATGCTTCTGTAGAACCACATTTCTATTGCATCAAGTCTCTTCTCTTCATCTGTAATGAAATTATCTAATATTCATTACCTTATTGGCTTTTCAGCACTCTTTTCTTTGTTTCAAACGAAAATTTCCAGTTCCTTCGTACTTTCTTTATCTTTTTGAATGCATTTCGGCTTTCAGTGTCACATTTTCCATCCTGTGTTAAAAGCTATAAGTACTACTCTTGAAATGTGCCGATATCGACGAGGGTCTTTTTTACGTGGCTAACCAGAATTTGGTTTACAAGCAGAGGAATATTTACTTGACAACTGTTAACATGGAAGTAGTGCCGATGCACAGTAATTCTGTGAAAAATGACCATCCAGTTTCTCGAATGCCCACAAATAGACCCTCTCTCAAATGGTTCTAATTGAACAAAAGAGACCGGCGTGCATCTCTTACGCTGGACTCTTTCATCACACTGAACATTATATCTGCATGCGCTACCGTCTAAAGCTTTGACACAGATGGTTCACTGATATGAGGATTGCTAGATCACAAGAAAAACTTTAAAAATCTTACCAAATATTTACTAGTTAAAATCGGTATCGAATATCTTGGATGAGGAATCATCCTTATTTATACGTGGACTATGTTATCACAACGTTCATCAGTTAATTGTCGAGCAGGGAATTTCAAACTGAACTATGTCCGTACCCAGAGATATCTCCTTTGGTTCTTATTTAGTACTGTTCTCTTTTTCACTGACTCCAAGTAAATACGGCTCGGCCCACAGATTGAACTTTCAATTAATATGTCAACTTGCTGCGAAACTTTTTAATCAACTGGGCTTTTGTCCCGTAGAACAAACCTGAGTGGAGAATTTGGAATCATACACCAAAGCTGTCAAAATGAGTATTGCTGCTGCTCCTATTTGTCATGCTCGACAAATGCTTCACTTTTTATTGTTGCTATTGAAGCCTTGCTGTCACGTCTCTTTTTTTTTATTTCTTAACTAGCAAAGATGAGAACAATAGTCCGCGTCTGAATGACTTTCAAAATGTTGCAATGATATTTTTCCATCGGTTTACACCTGTGCCATATGATGATAAAAATATAGATTTTATCTATTAGTAAAAGTGTTCAATATCAGGGATAGAGCGTGTGTAAATATAAGAATTGGGAATTGAGTGGCGATAGTCTGTTCTCTGCTGAACCGCAATCTCCAGGCCATGTGCGTTGGTTAGTAACTGGAATATTTATATGCTGGTCATTTTATGGGTAGCGAGGTCAA